ACATTCAGTTTCAAGTTCTAGCACCAAGTGTTAATATAGGGTAAGAACAGGCACTCTTGTGTTCTTCTGGCCATACAGAGTGCAAATAGCAAACATATGAATGTCCAGCAAGTACAGTGTATTGGACTAAAGAGAACCTCCTATTCTAGTCAGTTTCCAAAGCTGAGTTGAACTAGGTATGCCTCATGTGTGTGGGAAGCACAGTCCTTTTGTTCTGAGCCAGCTCACTGTTCTGGCCCTATAGGAAACACAGAAGAGTACAAGAGTGCCCATTTCTCAATAGCAGAGTGTTTTTCTTCTAAGCCAAGCTAGGTTCCAATTGCCATTCTTAAATGGATTTGAATCCCACTCAGTTTCAAGTTCTAGCAGCAAGAGTTAATTCAGGGTAAGAACAGACACTCTTGTGCTATTCTGGCCATACACAGTGCAAAAAGCACTGGTGTCTGTTAACAGCAAGTAGAGTGTAGTGGACTGAAGAGGACCTCCTGTTTTACTTAGTTACCAATACTGAGTTGAACTAGATATGCCCCGTTTGTGTTGGAAGCAATTTTTTTTTGTTGTGATCTAGCTCATTGTTCTGGCCCTAAAGGAAACACAGTAGAGTACAACAGTGCCCGTTTCTCAAAAGCAGAGTGTTTTTCATGTTAGGCTACCTAGCATTCAATTAACCTTTCTAAATGGAGTTGAATTACATTCAGTTTCAAGTTCTAGCAGCAAGTGTTAATTCAGGGTAAGAACTAAAACTCTTGTTCTCTCCTGGCCATGCACAGTGCAAATAGTACCGAGTCGGATACCAGCAAGTTCAGTGTATTGGACTGAAGAGGACCTCATGTTTCACTTAGTTATAAATACTAAGTTGTAGTAGATATGCCCCGTTTTGTAGGAAGCACAGTTCTTTTGTTGTGATCCAGCTCACTGTTCTGGCCCTAAGGAAACACAGTAGAATACAAGAGTGCCCGTTTGCTGTGGATATCGTTCTATATAAATAAAACACTGATGGCCAGTGACCAGGCAGGAAGTAGGTTGCCAAGCAGGAAGTAGGTGGGACAAGGAGAGAGGAGAATTCTGGGAAGCGGAAGGCTGAGGGGAGAGACTCTGCAGCTACCGCCAGGACATGCAGCATGTGAAGACGCTGGTAAGCCACCAGCCACGTGGCAAGGTATAGATTTATAAAAATGGGTTAATTTAAGATAAAAAAACAGTTAGCAAGAAGCCTGCCACGGCCATACAGTTTATAAGTGATATAAGCGTCTGAGTGATTATTTTATAAGTGGATTGTGGGACTGCGGGGCTTGGGGAACCTGGAGAGAAGCCCTCCAGCAACACCCGTTTCTCAAAAGCAGATTGTTTTTCATGTAAGGCAAGCTAGGGTTCAATTAACCTTCCTAAGTGGAGTAGAATTACATTCAGTTTCAAGTTCTAGCACCAAGTGTTAATGCAGGGTAAGAACAGCCACTCTTGTGTTCTTCTGGCCATACACAGTGCAAATAGCACTTGCATCAATTCCCAGCAAGTACAGTTTTGGACTAAAGAGAAGCTCCTATTCTAGTCAGTTTCCATTGCTGAGTTGAACTAGGTATGCCCCGTTTGTGTATGAAGCACAGTTCTTTTGTTCTGAGCAAGATCACTGTTCTGGCCCTATAGGAAACAGAGAAGAGAACAAGAGTGCCCGTTTCTCAATAGCAGAGTGTTTTGCTTTGAATCCAAGCTATGGTTCAATTGCCATTCTTAAATGGAGTTGAATCACATTCAGTTTCAAGTTCTAGCACCAAGTGTTAATTCAGGGAAAGAAAATCCACTCTTGTGCTCTACTGGCCATACACAGTGCAAATAGTACTGGCGTCTGTTACCAGCAAGTTCAGTGTATTGGACTGAAGAGGACCTCCTGTTTTACTTAGCTACCAATGCTGAGTTGAACTAGGTATGCCCCGTTTTTGTAGGAAACATATTTCTTTCGTTGTGATCCAGCTCAATGTTCTAGCACTATAGGAAACACAATAGAGTAAAAGAGTGCCCAAAGCACTCAAAAGCAGAGTGTTTTTCTTGTAAGGCAAGATAGGGTTCAGTTAACCTTCCTAAACAGAGTTGAATCACATTCAGTTTCAAGTTCTTGCAGCAAGTGTTAATTCAGGGTAAGAACAGCCACTCTTGTGCTGTTCTGGGCATAAACAGTGCAAAGAGCTCTCATGGCTGTCCCAGCAAGTATAGTGTTTTGGAATGAAGAAAAGCTCCTATTCTAGTCAGTTTCCAATGCTTAGTTCAACTAGGTATGCCTCGTTTGTGTAGGAAGCACAGTTCCTTTGTTCTGAGCCAGCTCACTGTTCTGGCCCTGTAGGAAACACAGAAGAGTACAAGAATGCCCGTTTCTCAAAAGCAGAGTGTTTTCTTCTAAGCCAAAGTAGGGTACATTTGCCATTCTTAAATGGAGTTGAATCACATTCAGTTTCCACTTCTAGCAGCAAGTATTAACTCGGGGTAAGAACAGCCACTCTTGTGCTCTTTTGGCCATACACAGTGCAAAAAGCACTGGCGTCTGTTAACAGCAAGTACAGTGTATTGGACTTTAGAGGAGTTCCTGTTTTATTTAGATTCCAATACTGAGTTGAACTAGGAATGCCTCGTTTGTGTTGGAAGCACAGTTCTTTTTTTCTGAGTCAGCTCACTGTTCTGGCCCTAAAGGAAACACAGTAGATTACAACAGTGCCCGTTTTTCAAAAGCAGAGTGGTTTTCATGTAAGGCAAGCTAGGGTTCAATTAACCTTCCTAAATGAGTTGAATTACATTCATTTTCACGTTCTAGCATCAAGTGTTAATTCAGGGTAAGAACAGCCACTCTTGTACTCTCCTGGCCATACAAAGTCCAAATAGTACTCACGTTGGATACCAGCAAGTTCAGTGTATTGGACTGAAGAGGACCTCCTGTTTTACTTAGTTAACAATACTGAGTTGAACTAGATATGCCCCGTTTTATTAGGAAGCACAGTTCTTTTGTTGTGATCCAGCTCACTGTTCTGGCCCTAAAGGAAACACAATAGAGTACAAGAGTGGCCATTTCTCAAAAGCAGAGTGTTTTTCTTGTAAGGCAAGCTAGGGTTCAATTAACCTTCCTAAACTGAATTGAATTACATTCAGTTTCAATTTCTAGCAACAAGTGTTAATATAGGTTAAGAACAGCCACTCTTGTGCTCTTCTGGTCATACACAGTGCAAATAGCACTGGCGTCTCTTCCCAGCAAGTACAGTGTATTGGACTAAAGAGAGGCTCCTATTCTATTCAGTTTGCAATGCTGTGTTGAACTAGGTATGCCTCATGTGTGTTGAAAGCACAGTTCTTTAGTTATGAGCCAACTCACTGTTCTGGACCTTATGAAACACATAGAGTACAAGAGAGCCTGTTTCTCAAAAGCAGAGTGTTTTTCTTGTAAGGCAATCTTCAGTTCAATTGCCTTTTTTTTTTTCTGTAACGTGTTTATTATGTGCAAAAAAAAAAAAAGTACACAACAGCTTACTCCACACATCTGTAGTAGAGTGCAGGCTTGCCTGCATATACACCAATGAGGTAGAGACTTCACACACAGCTTCACAAACCCACAGAGTAGCTGGGATATGCAACAATGCAACATCAGCTCAGCAGGAGGGAGGAGGGGTTAGGACACTGGTTCTTTGGCACACAGCTTCCCTAAGAGGGGCAAGGAGTAAGTAAATTAAAAAGGAAAAGAGTCAAGTTTGCAAATTCCAGTAGCATTTTTTTGTCAACTCGGTTGATTCATACATTCTTCAAATAAAATATGTAAGGAAGGGTCCTTGCCCCTCTAAGAGAAAGGGCTCCTGTGAGCCTTCAACTGCCCCCACCAAAAAGCAGCCCTTTTTTTTTTTTTTAATTTTTAAGCTCAGTTACAAAAGAAAAAGTCCTGTGACTGTGATTAAAAACTTCTATCAACCCTTCCCACCCCACATAAGTGCAATGTAAGAAGGTGCGACAAACTATTTAAAACTATATACAGCAGCTGCTCAGACGTAATTTTTTCCCTCCGGTCCAGTTTTAAATAAAATAATTTTCCCTTGGTTACAAATGCTTTGATTTGCAACTGTGACCAGCAGTCCCCCAGACACAAATTTGCTATAATGTTAAAAGCTGCCAGAAAAGAAAAAAATCTATTGTTCCAAATGACTTAAAAACTGTTTTAAGGAGTGTAAAAAGGAACCAGTAAAAACCCTCGAGCGTAAACTATGAAATATGATTTGGTTTAAATGAAGAGCAAAGTCTCCTTGTTTGTTTACAGTAAAAAACACCAGCTGAACACTCAGTTTATGCCGTTCAGGTGGGGGTTAAACAAAGGAAAGGCACTGTATGGCAACTGCAAGAATGAACGGATGAGACCTGCGCATCACCACCGCCAGTATTGCGAGGAATGTAGAAAGCGCTTTAATAAATAAACTTAGGTGTAGGCATCTGTCAATACCTCCTGGACACACAGTTTGTTGTTGTTTTTCTTTTCATTTGCAAAATGAGGAACTAGAATCTGGGAAAACTACATTTGCTTGAGGGTGAGCCTGAGGGTCCTTGCTCTGGCACACCCCCTGAACACAAAACCTCACAAAACTCATTGTGCATTAATTAGTGCAGAAACAAAGACAGATTTAGCAAGTACAAAGGTGACTACAAGTTTCCCTTGTCTGCAGAAAGCTAGCTCCTTGGGCGCCAGTGCAGGGTACAGGCCTGATTTGCCAGCCTTGGGCAATACAGGCCACTGGGCAAGGCCAGCTTCTCTAGCTGGCATCTCAGTTTTTCTGGTTCCTCATCAGGGGGCTGTGGTGGCGCAGGCCTTCCATGCTGTGTCGCCAGTGCCAGCAGCTTCGGCAAAAATACTTGAAGCAAACCTAAAACAGAAAGAGCGTTAGCACCAGGTACAAAGGTTCTACTTGGAAGAGGAAATGGAAGGCCCCTAGTTTCTGTGGAGCTAGAAGAGATGCTTCCTGCTAGGCCTCTCATGGTAATAGAGCTCTAAGGCAAATGCTATCTTGTTTTCATGTGTAGCCTTATGCAAACATTTTAGGTTCCTGGTGTACAGAGACCATGCAGGTTCCCAATTCCCCACCCTTCTCACCTACAGAGCAGTTGAATTTCATGGCTGCCAACATGAGAGAATGTGTGAAGAACTGGTAACAGATTCAAGTATAAGCAGACATGCCTTTCTCTTCTCAGTGAGAAGTGACTGGTTTTGCTAGCTGAATAATCTTAAACCAGTCATAACCTCCTACCAAGAATCTGAAACTGAGGATTCACTGTGAAAGACACTGATCTATAGAAGCTGATTAGAAAGACACTTGTGTGCTTGACCTTACTGCCCAATCTTACTCTGAGCTCCTGTGGGGGCCTGGGTTTGACTATCTACAGCCTCCATGCAATGACAACATCACTGTAAGACAAACTAAGCATAGATGAATTGCTCGAGTCTGGAAGGTTCCCGAACATTCCAGAGAAGGTTTCAGAATGTGGTCCAATGGTTGTGCCTGCACAAGACCAACCCAATGAACATTTCAGCATGGGCAGGGAAAAGGCTCACAGGCCACTACTCCTAGCTGAGAGCTACTGACAGCTTATGGCTTCTGGAAGAAGGAAAGTCAGTTTAAGGGTTTATCCCTTGGTAGATGGACTACCATGAGTATATAAGTAGCACACTGGGACTAGGCATGATATTTAAAAAAAAAAAAAAAAAAGGCTGAGCAAGGTGGTGCTTGGAAAGCAAAAGCAGGCCCAATCTGAGTTTGAGGCCAGCCTGGTTTACATAGTGAGTCCCAGGCTGAGGTGAAACCCTGTCTCAAAAACAAAAACAAAAAGTAATAGCATCAACAAAAAACAAAAAGATGAAGTTAAGAGGGAGTGGATGGGAAGGAGTTAAGAAAAGTAGGGTAGAACATGATCAAAATATATTGTATGCATGCATGAAAATATATTTTAATGTGTTTAAAAAAAGTTCATTCAAAACAGCAACAAGAGCACCACTCAGCAACTTATTAAAAACAGACTCTCAGGGTCCACCCAAATCCACTGACTCAGATTCTCATCTCAACAAAGTTATCAGCTGATACGTACATACATTCAAGTCTGAAAATCAATGACTGCCAAACATACCCAGATCCATCCATGTTCCACCACCCAGAGACACCCAGGAGGAAGTTCCCATGTAGCTTCCACCTTTGATGAGTGTGGTTAGAAACCCAGATACAAATACCAAAGCAGTCCAGAAGTTCAGAAATAAAGGAAAACTCAGTCCCAGCAAGGTGTACCTAAACCTTTTGGCATTGCAACATAATGCTGTCATCTTCAAGGTTCACACTGGAGAACCATGCAATCCAGATACAAAACCAAACCAACACTTCACAAGTGTGTGTGTGGGGGGGGGGGGTTGGGGAGGTTGGCTCCTAAAATCACAATTTTGGGTTGGGCAGCATTCACAGCTATTCTGAGGCAAATGGCACCAGAGACTGTAATTGGACATGCTTGTCAGACTTAGAAAACGTTATCAGTAGTGCTTTATTCATAGGTATCCAACTACCCAATGTCTATAAAACCACTATCTGGGTATGGTAACACATGCCAGTGATACGAAGGCTCAGGCAGGAGCAGTGGGTAAGAAAGAGGCTCGTTGCAAGCTCAAGGCTAGCTTGGCTACATGAGTCCCAAGTCAGGTAGGACTAAACAGTAAGACCATTTCCAAAAAACAAAACAAAACAAAAATCACCCACTATCACCAATGGCCACACTGTACAGCAGTAGCCCAGGAAGGAAAAGAGAAAACAAGCATTCTGACACACCAGGTTGTAGATCAACCTATCTACAGTGTGCCCTCTTGACTGTTGTCTCTATCTATGCTCCCAGACATCACAAGTTACCCAAGAACTCCAATACTCAATGTCAGAAACGTGCCTTAATATATTTTTGTATTGTGGTATGAACTTTGTAGACATTTCTAGTGCCCAGAGAACTCACCTGATCTCGACAGAAGAAAGGGCCAGGCTGTGAACTGCAGATAAGACACAGAGAATCTTCTAGATAGGGGTCAATCTGAACCTGAGGAACATCAACAGAGGGAGATAAAATGGCTCTATGGGTCAGATGAGTTTGAGGAGCGTATTATTGAGCACACAGGGATGCAGGATGTTTATTTGTTCTAATGGAGGCTAGACAGAATTGTGGGCCAGGGCCTAATATGGACAGACTAGAAGACAGACTCATGTCCTACAGAGACAGAGCTGGTTGCTGCTAACATTTGACAACCACAGGCTTTACTGCCTGATCTTCTCAGCAAAATGAACCCTGGCGTTCCATCAATTAGCAGCAGGGAAGTGCTCAGAGTATTCAGGTTAAAAAAAAAGATAAAGAAAGTCGATCTATTTAGCAATTTCAGATAAATATAAAAATGAGGGGACTTCTCCTCACCCACACCCACTCCCACTCAGGCAGCTAACAGTCTAGGTCCCTTCCTCCTGAGTCCCCAGAGACCAAGCCCACCTTAAACCCTGAAAACTCAGGTTAACTCTGCAGTTGGGCTCATTGCCCTAATCTTGGAACTATGCTTGTTTTTTTTGTAACTGATCCAAATCTCTCTCAAAGTAAGGGCATAAACCACTCACCTTCTTGGTAAACTTGGTGGTTTTGATCTCCACAAAAGCAGCGCTGACTGCTTTCAGGTAACTACGTTGGTTATTGAAAGTCACACGACCAGACCCTAGGAAAACCGGGCACTGTTCAAATTCTCTTAAACACTCAAGAAACCCTGCTCTACACCAGTACGGTCTGACATAAATTTCTAATTGAGTGGTTGTCACAGTCAAGTCGAAAGTAGTAGAACTTTAATAATATAGGTTATTTTATCTGTGTTCAAGGTATAGATTTTGGTGGTGGTTTTGTTTTGTTTTGTCCTGAGACAGGGTTTCTCTGTGTACCCTGGCTGTCATGAAACTTGCTTTGTAGCCCAGGCTGGCCTCGAATTCAGAGAACCACCTGCCTCTGTCTCCCGAGTGCTGGGATTAAAGGCGTGTGCCACCACTACCCGGTTGTGTTCAAGGTATTTTAACACATAGGAGAAGTTGCATTTCAAGTACTCAACAGCCACCTTCTGTTGGTGGCTATCACACTGGACAGTAACCATTGTAAGACATGTTAGTGTTAATCATTTAGTAAAGAGAGAAGGGAAGGGGCTCCTCCTGTGCAGGCAGACATACAGGGAAGGAAAAGGGGCTCAGGTGGTATAAATAGCAATCAAACCTTGCCTGACCCAGAGGTACCTTAGAGAACTAGGAACCAGCAGAAGAATCCCCCTCCTGCCAAGTGCGGCCTGCCCCTACAGACTCTGAAGTCCTGGTTCTCCATTTGACCAGATTCAGTGCAGATGGGTAGACCAGGTATCTGGGAAGGTGGGTTAACTATATATGCCTTGATCAGAGAGTTCAGGTCTGCTCCATTTCCAAACGCAATCACTGAGATTACAGTACCAAGTCTGGAACTAACCTTCTTTCTCAGAAAAGCTGATCAAAACTCAGTGGTCAGGACACAGACTACCTTAAGGTAGAACAGCTCAACAGCTGTACCAGTTTTTGAGTTATCCAGAAAGCACCTTTGATCTGACCTTGTCTCTTACTCTAGACAGCATCAAAGATGTAAAAATGAAACAAATGATCCTTCCTTCCTGACAAAGTCTCACTATGTATTTCTGATTGGCCTGGAACTTGCTATGTAGACCAAGCTGGCTTTGAACTCAGAGATCCACCAAGTGCTGGGACAACAGGCATGTGCTACCATGTCTGGAAGAACTTTTAATAAAGGAAACTGGTCAAGTTCTCAGTAAAGTATAGTCTTTAAGTGCAATACTACCTACAGTGTGTCCCAAACTGGTTGGCAGCTGTGTGTGCACTTTGAATTTCAACCAGCTTCTTTCACCAATATTATCATAGATCCTACAATCGTCCTTTTCCCCAGGGTGGGAAACAGGAGTAGAGCGAGATGCAGATGGGCCAGTACTGGTAACTTCTGGAGGAAAAGATGATCTGCAAACGTGGGTCAGTTCTTTCTCCACTCTCAAAGGTAAGTATTACAATCTTAATTTACTCCCAGGGGCACCAAGCCTTCCCACACAGAAGTAGGACACTCACCAATGGGGTACTTGTGCTTATCTGTGTCAATCCCAGCATACACCACTCCACCAAATAGGTCATTCAAGATGGCAGCCAGAGCCTCAGCATTGAGCATCCCGTGCAAGGCACCAACAAACACCGTCCTGCTTGGATCCAGCCTCTGAGATGGGCTCCAGACAAAGTTGCTGTCAGCCAAGACCCAAGGGATTACCTGCACCTGAAAACGCCCCCCAAAGGTTTATCAGCTCGCAGCTTCAGAGGGCCTCCTGTACAGTAGAACACATGCTTTAGATACCATAGCTGCAGCTGCTGAGGCTGTGCAGGGATGAAAGGGCACTGTTCCCCATCTGAGGCACACAGGCTTCCAGTAAGGCATCCTTATCCTTGAGTTGAATTTCCTGTGTTCATGTGTTCATAATGGTGAGAGAAAATACAACAGAACTCGCTGATTCTGCAAAGTAAGCACCAAGTACCAAACTGACAGGCCCACAATCCTGTAATTCCAACCAAGGGCCACAGGAACTAACAGAGCATGAGTTCTCAAGAAAGAAAACAAGAGTTCTGTGAAAGGTAGAACTCATAGAACATTTAAAAGCTAGGAGCATGAAGGACAGAAGGGTGAAAATGCTTATCAGTGAGATGGTTACTGGTCTAAACCTAGGTATTTAGAGGGCTTTGTGCCAGCAATAGTGGGAACATTCTCTCTCCCCGCCTCCTTCCCTCTTCCCCACCCCATGTGTATAAAGCCATCTCTCTCTGTATAAACCCATGTACAAAGATCTGAGGTGTTACAAAGCTCAGCATCACTAGGGCAAATGCTGACACCTTGTGTCTTCTGTCCCCTTGACCCCAGAGTCAAACCTAGTCTAGCAGGCAGAGGGTGTTACAATGAGGTAGGCTTATAAATGCCAGTAACTATTTCTGGAAAAATAGTTTGTGAAGATCTTTTTAAAATGCTTTGAAACAGGAAGAGAACTGAGGCAAACACAAGGAGGTAAAAACAATTCAAAAGAAGACCTCAACAAGGCTGGTGGCAATGGTCACAGGTGACAAGCAAAGATATTCTTCAATGGAAGTCTGTAGAAGTCAGACTTTCTGAGTGGGTAAGCAAGGAGGGACCAGGCACGATCTAGACCTACAGGGCCTGAGGTTTGGAGAGCCTGGTAGAAGGTACCAGGGGAAGCTAACAGCCCCACAAATTCATGACAAAGGCTAACTTTGCACACAGGGAATACAGAGTTACAGGATATATCAAAGAAGACAGGGTCTACATAGGACAGGAGGTTAGACAGGTGAAAATGAATACATTATCTGAGATAGAAAGACGACAGGAGGGAGTCAATTGTGTTGATAATAGTGGACAACAGTCGGGACATACAAAGAATCAGTCACAGAAGTGAGAGAACTGGGTCAGCCTGCAGCTGGTGCATCAGAGAGACTTAGTCTCTGCTAAGTGGTAAGGAGGGAGTGGGCATGAGGCAGACTCGATTCCTGTAGCTGTGACAGTCTCATGTGTGAAAGCAGGAGACAAAGGAGGAAAGAATACATGAATTCATCTTAGATACGATGAGCTCCTGCCTGTTGTCTGAGGGCCAGACAAGTGAGGAGAGAAGGAAGGGAACTGAGTTACTGTGGGAGCCCGAGAATGAACAACTTCAACTTCTGTCAGACTGGACAGCAGAAACATGGGGGAACTTTTATAAAGCAAAGAACCAGATCAGTCAATGAATTATTTAAAAGTGATATGACCATCTTACTAATGGGCACTTCTCCCTTTAAGACACAGATTTTAAAAATAGACTTTACTTTCTAACAGTTGATTTAGGTTCACAGCAAAACTACACTAAGAACAGACATTTCCCACATACTCTCTGTCCCACACAAGCCTCAACTAGCAAAATTCTGCATCAGAAGGTCATTCCGATGACCCTACACTGACAATTACTATTACCTCAAGACCACAGTTTACACTGGGTTCTCTTCACATTTTCTGTGAATTACTGGTTTGGAGGAAATGTGTGATGACTTTTACAACACTGCAATGGTAGCTGAATGTCAACTCACAGCCCAAAAAAATCCTTTGTGCTCTGCCTAGTCATGTCTCCCTCCCCTGGAAAGCACTGATCTTTTTAATTAGAGATATTTTTAGCTTCCCATGGAGCAATGAAATTTCACAGTAGTTTAATGTCACAAAAGTGATTTGGAATCAGCCTAATAAAAACACCACTACACCAATTCCTGAACTCAAAACAAGTGGTTCTCAAAACTCTATCCACTAGCACCATTTGGGGAGTCTGATTACAAGGGATTCCTAAACTCTACCCAGATGAATCAGTAATCCTGAGATAAGACTCTGCAATGAGTTCCCCAATGTGAAATCAGTATGATGTTCAGGGCACAAAGGCTTATGCCAAGCATTTATAAAAAGACAACATATTGGTAACATATAATAGAGCCCTGAGAGGGAGTGAAGCAGCCATGGCTGGGTTTGTGTGAATGGGAATTTATTTACTTACCCAGTCTGAGAACCAGGAGAAAATATCTGTAGATTTTATCAGTTTAGTCTAAGAAGAGAAAGTTGCTGCTTTCAATTTCATCTCTAAGGTGAGGTTTGAAATTTAAATGTAGATCAGAAGAGAGTAGAAGAGGCCAGGAGGGCTCAATCACCACTGGTTCCAGGATTGTCTATGCACATTTCACATACTTCCCTTTCACCTCAGCAAGGCCAACAGTTGGCTTTTTTAAGAAAAATGTAATTTAGAAGATAGCAATGTATTTGCCATGGACAAGAAAAGTAGATTCCTTGCCTCTGCAAGAACTGTTGCCCTGGTTCCAAGAAAAATCTAGTGCTATGATATGCCAATCATCTTGACACAGGAAGAATATGTGGTGGTTTGAATGAGAAATGTCCCCCAAAGTCTTGGCATTTGAACTCGGTTGCCAACTGGTAGTGCTCTTTGAGAAGTTTTTGGTGGTATAGCTTTGCTAGAGGAATTGGGTCACTGGAGTGGGCTTTGAGATTAAAATCTTCCTGCCACTTCCAATTTGCTCTCTCTGTCTTGTTCTTATAGCACAGGATGTGAGCGTTTTGGTCCTGTCATATTGATTTTTGTTTTCTTTTTGAGACAGGGTTTCTCTGTGTAGCCCTGGCTGTCCTGGAACTCACTTTGTAGACCGGGCTGGGCTTGAACTCAGAGATCTGCCTGCCTCTGCCTCCGAGTGTTGGGATTAAAGGTGTGTGCCACTGTGATGTACTCTTATCCTTCAGGACTCATAAGCCCAAATTACTTCTTATGTAAGTTGCCTTAGGTCATGGTATTCTAATCACAGTGACTGTGGTGGTTTAAAGGAGAATGGCCTTCGTATCTCATATGTTTGAAAGCTTGGTCCCTAGTTGGTGGACCTATTTAGGAAGGATTAGGAGCTGTGGTCTTGTTGGAGGTGGTATGTCACTAGGGGCAGGCTTGGAGGGTTAAAAATATTCATGCTGTTCCCACTGTGACCTCTTGGCCGTTCTTGCTACCATACCTTCACTTTACCATCCCAGACTCTAACCCTCTGAACCTGCAAACCCAACTGAGAACGTTTCCTTTTATAAGCTACCTTGGTCATGGTGTTTTATCATAGCAATAAAAAAAGAAACTACTACAGCAACAGAAAGTAACTAATATAGGACACCAAGCGAACTCACCTCTTTGCAGCGCATCCTTCGGCTGGACATCTTGAAATAATATTCACTCAGGCCATCTGGGCTCATCGGGTCGTGAGAACAAGCCTGAAGCAAGGCCCGGACAGACTTCTCTAGTTCAAACACCAAATACACATACCCTATACCCAAGGAAAGCAAAAGCCGCCTTAATATTCCTTAATATCCTCTATGGTGGCCAAAGAGCCATGGCTTTGAGCAGGGAGTTTCTTCTAAGGGAGGAAGCCTCAAGTACAAGATAGATAGATAGATATAGATAGATAGATACATATATGTGTGTGTGTGTGTGTGTGTGTGTGTGTGTGTGTGTGTGTGTGTATGTGTGTGTGTGTACATGTATATATGTGTGTATATATATATATATATATTTTTTTTTTTGAGGTAGATTGAACCTATAGTCTTGTGTGTGCTAGGTAAGCACTCTACCACTGAACCAAATCCCTCATCCCAAAGTACATTTTTGTTCTACTCCTGAAAAGGCTTGTCAAACGAAGCACTTACTATACCTTATGCCCAGGCTAAGGGAGAGAGATGTACATCCCATTTCGCTAAGGGAAAGAACTGTCAGCTGGAACAGAAGACCCCACCTACTACTTCACAGCTCTCTACCCCAGAACACAGAGCATGCTCGGGTCAGCAGAGCCAGAAGAATAGTTTGTCGGGGGATGCAGGTATTACTTTAAAAGCCTAATTAAACTGTCAGTTCAAGTTCAACGAAGATGGGGCAGAGTGAAAATAGCACCCGCTCCTTTCTACAGGGCAGAATCTCCTTTTAGACCAGTGAGGAATCAGATAGTCGGTCCTCATTCCTGACAACTCCAAAGGGAATCTCAGAACTGGGTCAGATGACAACCTCCAAGGCTGCAGAGGCAGGCAAAAGAACACTCTTGAACACCGTATTCGGGGGGAAAGGCACTGGTGGGGTTTAGGTTTGGAGGGAAGTGCACAGGAAGAAGTCTGGGTGGCAGCTCCCACAGCACTGCAAGTTTGGACAGATGGACAAAGGAATGTGCAAAATTGAAGAGGACGTGCTGATTATACCCTGGAGTGCCTACATTACTAACAGCATGCTTCTGTGACATCCCGGCACCACGTGGTATAGTACGTGTGAGGGAAGAGGGAAAAATTCCTACCATGTCTTTATTACCTTTAGGCATATTACCTTTGGGAGGACACCGAGGGTGCTTGCCATCCTTACCAGGCCACTCCACACTCAGAGAGCCAAAAACACGGAAGGTGTTAACCAATCCAGCTGTACAGGTGAGGAAGAACAGAAACCAAGACATAGTCTATTCAGGAAAGACACAAACACAGGATCACCAGCACTCCTCCCAAGGTTCACTGTTCCTGACAACTCAGAACTGACTTCTGGTCTCATTTGTAAGCAGACACACAGAAGCACTTTGAAAGCCTATGAGGTGCACCCACCCCTCAGCTGTTCCTGTAACACTCTGCTGAGGCAGAGGTTCAGGGCCTAAACAGGAGCCTAGGGCACACACTCCTTCTTAAAGGTATGCCCCACCTTCAACTCTTGTAAGAGATCTCAGAGGCAGCTCACCTTCCGTAATATCCCAAGGAACACCTCCCAAGAACACCTTGCATGAATAGATGGGGTTCTTATAGTTTCGTGGAGGAAGCTGGCCACTCCAGGTACAAGTAGCTTCATTTACAGCTTTGGTAGGAAACAAAAAAAAGAAAACAAACAAGAGTTCAATCGACCTTTCTCTAAAATAGACTTGTTGGAGAGAAACAGAGCAGTCACAATTCCAACTTGGCTGCCCAGAACACTATCCATGGTTATTCTGAAAGGCATAACACTTTGTCTTGTCAAATATTTAAGGTAAGTTTAATGATCCTACCTCAGCAGCTTTGCCTCCAATAAAATTGAAAGCAATAGCAAATGTACAAGGTAAAAATTATCACGACTTAAGCAATTTCAACTATATAACTAAAACTATCAACAGTTTTATCTTGCTATTGTTTATAGTACTAAATAGATTTATAAACAGTTAAAGAGTAGACAGAATAATTTTACATGCAATGCCCTTGATGTTTCTGACCCCAATAGACTTTTCTTCCTAGGGTAAAAGAACCTCTACCATTTCCCTGTCTTGTCTCTGAACTCATCGACCACAGAAGTTAGGATACTGTCAGCAGAAAGCACAACAGAATGAGAACACTGCCACACCCACAAACCCACTCACACACCCCTGAGCAGGCACCGAGCTTCCCTGCTGCCCACTGCTCACCCCTGTATGAGGATGGATTTCTGCCCAAACCCTCAGCTTCCTACTTATGTCAAACCCGATCGTGTCAACAGGCGCTTTCTGCTGTGTAGGTTTGGAACTCTCTTCAGACTGGGCTGGTCCTACTAACTTCCAGAAGTCTATTCTTGGCGACTAGCTCAGGCCTTCCACATAGGAAGGTGTCCTAGGTGAGGACTGGCTACTCAACACATTACCCTTCTCCTTCAACACTGAGGAAGACATTCAAGGAGATGAGCCATCTCCTAGATACCAGGCCATTCCCTAACATGTACAGGGCTAGTATGCTCCTGTGACAACTGTTATAAGAAACTGGGCACTGCCAGCAATGTTTCATGTAAAACCAAGTAGCCTCCAGAGCATACCACTCAATGGCTACATAGTAAGCACAAACACGGGCTATTAAAATCACCAGATAGATAAACAGGGTGTTCACACTATTAGAGGAGAATGAGATATGGACAAGTTCTATGTAAAAACATGCAACAGAGGAATATCACTCATTTGGTTAGATACCAGACCTCAGAGCCATGATTTGAGTGGAAAGCCCTGAAACATTAGCTGATATAAGTAGCTCGTTTACTTCCAAGCTCAGAGGTAATGTGAAAAAAAGATTTAATGCGCACTTAAGATGACGCACCTCGCCAAGTGGTAGTGGCACACGCCTTTAAGGCAGGTGGATCACTGTGTGAGTTTGATGCCAGCATGTTCTACAAAGTGAGGCCAGGACAGCCAGGACCATACAGAGAAATCCTGTCTCAAAAAAACAAAAAACCAAACAAATCAATAAAAAAATTTTAATTCATTTTTGTATTATGTACATAGGTGTCTTGCCTACATGTATGTCCAAGTATTGTATGAACACTTGATGCCTGCAGAGGTCAGAAGAGGGTTTTGGATCCCCTGGAACTGGAGATATGAATAGTTGTTAGGTGCCCATATGGGTGTTGGGAACTGAATCCAGGTCCTCTAGAAAAGAAACCAGTGCCCTTTAAGCACTGAGCCATCTCTCCAGCCTGCACCTAAGATTATTTAAATGACAGAAATTAAAGGACTTCAAAGAGATCAGAGCATCTGGTGACATCCCATACCTTAGAGGTTAACTACCCTGAATGTAATTGGAAAAATCACAGAACAGAAAGCCAGAAAACGAACTGTGACTGCTATGACTCTGAATCAGAAATAGGAAAGGCAGACAAAACTGTAGGCATCATTTTCAAGATTTTGTCTTTCTCATGCAACAATCAAAAGCAAAGGCAGGGCACAGCCAGTTTTCACAGAAGCCCACAGTAAGAGGTGGGGCCAGCCATTTTCTGCTGTGGCACAGCCTGTCTGCCAGGCTATCTGCCTCTTTCAAATCAGTGTCAAGGTGGTCCCTTATTCTACAGAATACATGGTTCTTTACAGACCTGGAAACTTTACCACATTATCAAACCCTCTTCCAGAAGAGTTCATCATTGTGTGAACAAAGGTCAATTCTGTTTCTAGAAAGGTCTTAGGCCTCACACGTACCCGAAGTCATGCTGTACTCACCTGCTGCCTGCCGGTGTAGTCTAGCTTCTCTCTCTATGCTGAAAGGGTCTTTAGGAGCTTCAAGAAGGTCCCAGGATGGCCACACAGAAGCTCCTGGCCATCTCTTTGAAGCACTGGTTGGAGAGGGAGTAACTGCAGCCAGAGCAGCTTGTTCTTGGTCCATTCGGGACCCAACGCCCATCTTTAGAGGGTCTCTGGGCCCATTTCCCGTCATAGAAAGGAAGGGCAGAGGAGGGGAAATTCGAAGGCTTGACTAGAGGAAAAAAGAAGACAAGTTTTAAAAGACAGTTTTGTTATAAAGTAATAATCATATAACAAAATGAAAAGTATCTATCATAACATTTATAATTTAATATATTTTCTCTTATGTCTTCCTATTCATTTTTAAGATTAGTTATAGATTATAATATAATTAAAATAAATTCTCTGTCTCTCCACATAGACATTGTTTTCTTGCCAGAGAGTTCTCATAACAATTTTAATGAATTTATCACATTTTATTCAGAAGACCAGCTACATCCTACTGATCCAGTTCCCTATGGCTAATTTTTTTCTCTGATGGCTCTATACTCTATTAGAAATGCATTTGAACATATTACACTATATATTTGTATTAAATCCTGAAATTCTAAGTGTCAAAAGGATATATCATTAAAATTTGTTGATAGAATCTTTTGTATTAGCTTTGTCTCTTAGGTGGGTATCTGAGAGTTGTATTTGTCAGTCATTAGGTAAATTCCCAAGGTAAGTTCTATCTGAGTCATGAAACAGAACAAGCACCTCACGTAAACCCATCTTAAAGGGTGTAACTTCAAGTCCAGAGATGTGAAGGACCTGACTGTAGCTGTCTTTCTAGAAACTAGTCTGAACAGGTTAAATGAATGGGCAATGGGAATACTAACGCCAGCTTTCACAGTCCAGGAAGGATGGAAAAAGAAGATAGGGTGGGTTCTAAAAGCCATGAATGGAAAACTACAGAGATAAGAAGATGAGAAATGAGCCTTCTTATTCGTTAAACATTTAGTTTAGGGCATTGGTAACAAACAGAAAAGCAAGGTTGAGATGGACCTTAAATTGAATCTTATTTCAGAAAATTGTCTCATTGCCTCTTCCCCCTGAAGACTCACATGTAATTACTTCTACCCTCCAACTATACTGTCTATGCCATTCTCTATATACAATTTATACCATCCTCCCCACCTACTCTAACCCATTTCCTAACTAACTAGCATGGAGACTGCACATGTCCCACATGGCTGTAGGTAAGAACATGAGAGAGATAAATTTGATGATAGTTTCAGACTGTGAATTGGCAAGGGTCAGTGCAAAAGTATAGGGGCTGGAGTCAAATCTTGATTAGAATTCCAGTGTTAATTATTAATTATGAATTATTAAGGTAATTTATTAAAATATCACTTGTAAACTTGGGGATATTATACACAGAAGTATGTAAGTAATACTGTTTAAAGGCTAAAAAGGAAACATCTATGTACTTTCAAGAAACAGAACACTGCCAAGATGCTTATGTTTACTTTGAAATCAACTGTTTTCTAGCAGCTCTTGGAGTATCAAGTCCTAAAATGTATTGCTCACAGACATTCAAAATGCCCTTGAGTTTGCTAAGGATGAATGGCTATAAAGAGGGTGCCTGATGATGATCTTATTTGCCTGCATCCCTGGTGGACGGGTACTCTGTTTCAAGGTCTAAGACAGACACTGCAGCATTTTCCCCTTAGGACACACACAGACAACTCCACCTCCACACCCCCCATTCCTGAGCATGTTACATACAATCAAATCTGAGAGATGATCTGATCCAGAGCTGAAGCCACTCGTGTCTGAGTCAGAGGGGCTGCTAGAACGGGAGTCCAGGATGGGCCGAGTGTCCAGGCGAGATCCTCTAACTGAGGGTGCTGGGAACTTGTCCAAGTCAGACCCAAGGGGATCCAGAGACAGGAAGCTCAAGGGGGTTTGTCCTAGGACATTTCCCAGTGGATTTTGGAGCATGCTTAATACTAGGATGACAAAAAAAAGAGAAAGAGAGAAAGAGAAAAAAAAAGAAAAGAAGAAAAGGAATGCTCATGACCTCTTAATTTTCTTTCCAGACAAGAGCCCTTTTCTTTTCTCCCATAGTCACCCACGGCAGGATCAACGGCTGAGAGCATTTCAGAAACGCAGAGCATAATGTAGAGATAACTGATGGTTTGGGAGACCTGACCACCCAGTCCTCATTAGAAGTTACAGGATGACTGAACACCAGAGCTCCTGCTACTAAAGTAGCAGCAGAACTGTCCTCTCTCTGCCACCAGGCTTAAGGAGGAGTTCTATCATCTGGGATTTTGCCACTGGGGACCCTGGTTACAGCTGCTGCTAATGTCTGGATACACCCACAGTACAATTAAGAAGTCAAAACCATATTCCTTTACTGGCTAGCAGTGTGTTTATTAGATTCCCACTTTTCTAGTAACATTTTTGCTAAAACACAGAATTGCATGCAACACACCAGACTAATATAGCATAAGCATGTCTCATCTGAGAAGTTCTCTTCTGAAAACTTCTAATGTGTACAAATTTTCTATGCAGCCCCAAAATTCAAATATTTAGGATGGAAGCAGAATGATTTCATAAATTTCACTATCTGAAGAAACAAATCTGATATGAAAACCCTGGTCTGAAACTTCCTTCAGATGGTTCTAACTATGAGAAGCTCACCTGGAGGCTTCTATCTTCTCACTGGCATCTTGGGTGAAATACCAACTATTTCACTACACTGCTCGCTGGATTCAATAATCAGACAGCAGATAGAAAGTGCTAAGCAAAAATCTCCAACACACAATAAACAAGTACCTAACATCAGAAAGAATAAAAGCCTGATGTGGTACAACACACCTGTAAGCTCTAGGACAGCCTGGGTACTGTCTCAAAAAGAGAAAGAAAGAAAGGGAGGAGGGAAGAGAGAGAGTAGGAGAGGGGGAGGGAGGAGAAAAAGAGAAAGGAAGGAAAAGTAAGGAGGGATCTGAGAAAAGTACATCCTTCATCCACAAGGACAAAGAATAAAAGGGCTTCACTATGAAGTTTTGGACTCATCAATGTTAAAATAGAAGCTTTAATTGGACATTTTAGTCATCTGAAGAATAAAGACTACATCTTAGTGAGTCCACATGACAGAGCAGAGGGAGCACGCAGCAGACAGCTAGAGGAGCAACCGAGACCTCAAATCACAAGCAACAGGCAGAGAACTAAATGGAGAGACATAGTAAGGGTGTGTATTCTTAGCCTTTTTAAATGTAGGAAATATTGTAGATGTATTTATTCAATTATTATTCTACAGTGGTAAAAAATGTTTAAATTTAAAATCCCATCAGCAATGACAAGTCCCTTCACATCTTAACCAATACCAGGCACAATCAGTCTTTTAATACTACTGTTGTTACTGTTATTGGTAGTGTGTGTGTGTGTGTGTGTGTGTGTGTGTGTGATGTATGTGTGCGTGCACATGACATGATGTGACAAATGGTAGTGTATGCATGTGTATGATGCATGTGTGGGTACACATGCCATGATGTCTAAGAACAACTTTGTGGAGCTGGTCCTCTTCTTCCACTTTTATGTGGATTCCAAGGATCGATTTCAGGACACTGGGCTTAGGTGGCAAGTGCCTTTACCCACTGAGACATCTCACCAGTCTGTAGTCAGTCTTTTTTATTTTAGGATGTGTAGTATCTATGGTGCTCAGGGAGCCAAACATAAATCCACAAAGGAGTTAGTTTATTATTTTGCTTTTCAAGGAAACATTCTTTTACCCTAGGCCTTTCAAAGTAGTTTTCAAGTACTAGCACTTAACTGCATACTGGAACTAAATGTCTCAAAATGCTTAGATTCTGACACCTATCAAAAATTCCTCAAGTAATCCCTGTATTATTAAATCCCTGTCTAAAATAATTGAAAATAATCCAAGCTCCTGCGTCTATGCTTCAAAATGGCAAGAGACAAGCAGATTTTAGCATTTTCCCTGGTCTTGCAAAGCCCAGCAAAACAGTATTGTTAAACTTACAGATCATTCTTTCTACCAGTTATTGAAATGCTATCAATGCCCTAGAGCAGTTCTCAATCTCCCTAATGCTGCGACCCTTTAAAACAGTTCCTCATGTTGTGGTAACCCCCAACCATAAAATTAGTTTTGTTGCTACTTCATAACTGTAGTTTTGCTACTGTTATGAACTGTAAAGTAAATATCTGTGTTTTCTGGTGGTCTTAGGTGACCCCGTGAAAGGATTGTTTAACCTCCAAAGGGGTTGTAACACAGAGGTTGAGAACTGCTGCCCTAGAGGGCCACTTCCTTCTTCACATTTTACAAAAACAAGCTTAGGGTAGTCAACAATGAGGTGACCAAAAAAAAAAAAAGGGGGGGGGTTGGGAAGATGATGGGCTATGGTGATATACTGTGTGCCCTAATATATTGTGTACTCTAATAAACTTATCTGAGGATCAGAGGGCAGAACCAGCCACTAGATTAGACATAGAGGTCAGACAGTTGTGGCACATACTTTTAATCCTATCACTCCAGAGGCAGAGATCCATCCTGATCTCTGTGAGTTCAAGGCCACACTGGAAACAGAACCAGGCAGTGGTGGCACAAACCTTTAATCCCAGCACTTGAGATTCCATGTCTTTGCTTGGGAAGGACACACATCTTTAATTCGAGGAAGTAATATGGCAGGACACAGAAAAGGTGTATAAGGTGTGAGGAAACAGGAACTCAGGCTCTTAAGGCTGAGGATTCTGTAGAGGTTAAGAATGTGGCTGGATTATTTGTAATAGCAAGAATCTGGAAACAACCTAGATGCCCCTCAACTGAAGAATGGATTAAGAAAATGTGGTACATATACACAATGGAGTACTACTCAACAGAGAAAAACAATGACACCATGAAATTTGTAGGCAAATGGATGGAACTAGAAAATATCATCCTGAGTGAGGTAACTCAGGCTCAGAAGGACAAATACGGTATGTATCCACTCATAAGTGGATACTACAAGTAAAGCAAAGGATAACCAGACAACAACTCACAACTCCAGAGAAGCTAGCTAACAAGGAAGACCCAAAGAGGGATGCATGGATTGCCCTGGGAAGGGGAAATAGATGAGATCTCCATGAGTAAACTGGGGATAAAGTATGGGCAATGGAGAGTAGGGGATAGGGGATGAGAACATAAGGGAATGGGATGGTTTAGCTGGAACTGGGAGGGAGTGGGAAAGCAATGAAAGAGATACCATGATGGAGGAAGATATCATTAGGATAGAGAGAAACCCAGTACTAGGGAAGTTGCCAGGAATCCCCAAGGATGACCCCAGCTGGGACTACTAGAAATAGTGGAGAGGGTGCCTGAACTTAACTGCTTGCCCCCATGATCAGATTGGTGAATACCCTAACTGTCACCACAGAACTTTTCTCCAATGACTGATGGAGGCAGATGCAGAGATCCACAGCCAAACACCAGGCAGAGCTCCAGGAGTCCAGTAGGAGAGAGAGGAGGGATTCTATGAGCAAGTGCATCAGGATCATAATGGGGAAACCTGCAGAGAACCAAATCAAACTAGTGGGAACTCATGAAAGTTGGATCAATGGCTGTGGGCCTGCATGGGACTGGACTAGGTCCTCTACATGGCGAGACAATTGTGTAGCTTGATCTGCTTGGGGGCCCCCTGGCTGTAGAATCAGAATTCATCCCTGGTGCATGAGGGGGCTTTTTGGAGCCCACTACCTATGGTGGGACACCTCGTGTAGCCTTGAGGCATGGGGAAGGGCTTGGACTTGCCTCTACTGGATGTGCCTCCCCATGGGAGGCCTTGCCTTCTTGTGGGGTGGAAAAGGGGGTGGGTTGGGGGGAAGAGGGGGATCTTTGACTGGTGTGTAAAATGAATGAAAAATCTTTCTTAATAAAAACATGGCTGGCTTATGCTGTTTCTCTGATCTTTCAGCTTTCATCCCAATATCTGGCTCTGCCTTTTAAAAAAAAAATTTAATAAGGCCTTTTAAGACTTGTGTTACAACTGGCAGTTAAAAGTACTGGCTGTTCTTGCAGAGGACCCAGGTTCAGTTCCCAGCACCCCTATGGTGGCTCACAACCATCTGCAACTCCAGCTCCAGGGCATCTGATACCTTCTTCTGACCTCTGTGGATACCAGGCATGCATGTAATTAATACACAGACATGCAAGCAGGAAAAATGCACACATAAAATAAAGAAAAATTTAAAAAGTCATAAAAGAGCCAATTATGATGATAAAAATTTTGGTTCTCCTGGTGTTGAAAGACTCTGAGATGGGGAAGTACTTGCAAGTAGATAGGGAGGAAAAGAGGAATGATGCTGAGGTAGGTGAGGCTGAGAAGATAACTAGGTTCCACTTGGCAAAACAGCACCTTGAAAGCTTCAGATCCACCCCTCCCCTAAGGATTTATGTGCAGCTGAAAGAGGAGTGACATGTTCTTCAGCAATGGAACCACTGGTAAACCAAGGTGCCCATATCCTGTAAACTATCCAAATGGAACCCATTGGATATCTCTCTCTCTCTCTCTCTCTCTCTCTCTCTCTCTCTCTCTCTCTCTCTC